CAGCTTTTTGAGCTATCACTGTAAGGTAGGCGTGAAAAGAATCGCAGCGATGGGACTGTTTTTTAGGGATTTTGAAATGTTACTCGTGAATGTCAGCCATCATCATCGATGATTCGTGGACCGATGAGGACAACATGGAGTGGAAGGGTGCATGATAGTAGTGATTGGTCCTAGTAAACCATTGCAGCAGCAAAAGGAGGGATATACGGACTCGCAATTGAAGAGGTGGAATGAATGAGGTCAATTCACCTTGAAAGCGAGTGACATTCTACAGCGCTTACTGGCAAACCCGTGGGCGCTCGATGAAATCGTTGCTCGCCGTTTACCGTGACGGTCTTCACGAAATTGCCTGTGTCTGCCATGATACTCACCAACGATAACCCATTGATGTTCCGCCTCGGTTCCCGCGGACTCTTATACATACCAGGGGATAAATTTGTCTTGGCCTCATTTAGCTCATTCGATACCAGACCTGGGGGCTGTACAGTGTAATTTAAAGAAATTACCTTCCGGCCCCTGGATCGGACTTCATGGAAGCTAGTCATTCCAGGAAGACTAACGCAGCAGCACCTGAGCATTTCCACCTGAAGCTCCCACAGGTCCAAAGGAGATGCGGCAGCGCCCCCCCTGTGCAAAGGTCGGAAGCGGTGTTTCTGCATCAGGATTTTTTTAGTCTCAATGCTATAAGACATGGAATTACTATCTGTCTTATTTCTATCCTGGTGAGACAGAGTTCTGATTGCTTTTCCCTCTGTCTCGCGGCTCGTCAGGTAGGGTTTTTGTTATATTTAGTATGAGGCTCAATACTCATTAGGTTTTTTTCTCTCTCGCTGGCAGTGACATTTTACGCTACCCTTCCCTTCCCGCCCTGTCTTTTCCTGTGATAATTGAACCGAACGATGTTATATTCTCTATGGTGAACTTTGTTCTCAGTGGTACGTGTTTATTTCACTTTCCTGTGAACGCGGACTATCGAGTATGGACTGTAATGCAAATTATTGTAACCCTTCCCGAAGCATCCCAATGCACATGGGGCCCTTACTAGGGGCTGCCTTGGTGTATCAGTTCTTGGTCCCAAGCCAGTAATATACTTCACCTTACCTTACCTTGACTAAAAGCGAATGTCCTCCATGAGATGATTGGGCACACATAACCACACCAATGAAATTTCTTTTCAAACCAGTTCCGCCCGGAACCATCCTTTTTCTGGTCAACTTGCTTCCAAGTCCCGATTAAGGCACAACTGTCATTTTTTAACAGCAATTTTGTGTTGTCTGAATCACGTCTGAATAGATCATCGAACGTGCGTGGTCCACCCCAGGTCCACTTGCAGTTGACTTGCAGTAGAATGCCAACGCCGTCTCCTTTAACATAATCACAGTTATGTTAGTCCTTTCCGAAAAGCTGTTGCTGCACTCAAAAAATTTTGTTATTTAAAGCGCATTATTGCTCTGCCAATGTAGTGTCTGCCACTGCTTCATAGTTTCTTTTGCTTGAATGGCCGATCAAGTTGCTACCAGAACTCAGTGAGTTGTGTTCCTTTGTTTTTACTCAAATGTTCATGAGGATCGCTTGCGACAGTTACTTGCAGTATGATGTTAGTTGAGCTAGCGTCGGTGACTGTCAAGTTATCTGTAAAAATGCCGCTCATTGATGAACTGGGAACCACACAGCGCTACTGTATTATGACTGGATACTAACCTTCCCTAGGGAGGTGAATAATCTTTTGTCTTTGTTAGCAGTAATATTCTAAGACTGTTTCTAGGTTCAGTACATATGGGGAGCGAAGTTTTCGCTTTCAACTTTGTTTTATATATTCTGCCGATATGCCCTTCTGGCGAATGTATTGTATCTTCTAGAAATATCTAATATGCTTGGCTCAAGGGTAAGCTACTCGTCCATGTCAATAAATCTAAGCTGATATCTTCTAGTCCGTCGTACAGCTTCCGAATGTTGAGATTTTAACATTTGAATTATCATCGCAGCGTTTCAGTGGCCTGCAATAATTGGAAAAAGTTTACATCTGCGCTCAGTGTTTTTGGTAGAGCTGCTATCGTTGGTCAGCGCAAACTTTTCTCTTCAGATGCTGCGTCCTATTGATTCCTTCTACATATATTCCAGCGACATTGATAGGACGCACTTATGCTGTTTGCTCTCGGAACCGTCTAATACTAGGGTACCTGGTGGTCCTTGGCACAATATGTGTCATAGCAGATGCGGTATGTTCAAAGCCGATCACTTCAACATCCCGTTGCTAACTTCGGCCTAGTTCCATGTCCCTTCAGAGAAATGTGTTAATACGTCGGACCCGCCTCTGTGTGTACACAGCCCCACTGTACTACACGATTGATACTGATTCACCGATTCTCTTTGGAAATTTATAGAGGTTCGGATGGAGTTCACGATGCTTGGAGTATGACTGTCCTGATTTTCCGACCACTTATAGCAAGTTTACTTCGTTCGGTTTTCACCATTGCTTTTGAAACATCTGTTGCCGCAATTACCACTATCAGGACTTTCCAGGCGTTGAAAGTCGGTGGTCCTTGGAGAAGTCAAAAGCACCGCTTAGTTTATCTTGTTCTTGAAGAAGGTAAGGTGTTTACAATTTATTGCGATGGGCCGCCCTCATCAAATTGTTATCAGGAATTTTGTATTTCTGGTGCGTCATTCTGACCTCAAGATTGAACTCTGTTTTGAGTATCACTAGTACTATATCTATTCTGACAATATCTTCTGTGATTCTTGACGTTGTGAGCCGCTTTCCTTTGATGTTGGTTTTCTAAACTGTTTGCTGCTACAGCGTGCTCCGGTAGAGTTTCTTGCTTGCTGCTTGCTAAACTAAGCTGATATATTTTCATAATACTCAGACTGGATGGCTACAGCGTCTTCTCGACGGTTTGACCTTACCGTAAGTATCAAAGTGGTAGTTGATGATGATCAAGTCAAATTCTCTGATATTTTAAGTCTCTCGGGTGCATTGACAGCTCGATTTATTCTTCACCTGCGCACGTGGCGTTCTAGACAGTCGGGTGTACATGTGATAGTCAATACTCAGCGGCGGCAAAGCTCAAAGGGAAGTTCAAATTCTCAGCTATTCCATATACCTGCACACAGTGCCAGTGAAAATGTCGACTTTGCGCATTTCATGGCTAATACCAAGCAACCTCGAGAACAACGAAACCCGATGAGTAATCCGAGTATTCAGCTATTTCACTTACCTGGACTCGGCGCTAGTGGAAATGTCGACTCCAATCTTGTTGGGCATTCTTCAATTATAAATGAATTCGGGGAGGATCCTGTTGTTCGAGCAATGCGGAATTGAGATCTCTTTTCGGTAAAGATGTGACACAGTGAGTCACATGTGGGTAGCCTGGGGGGGGATAATTGGGTGATTTAAGACAAAGAATTGGAATGACGGAAATCTGCTTCAAGTTTCAACTAGTAAGAATATCACTGAATATACTTATGTTAGTATTTACTTTGACTACTTGCTTTAATTTTTTCTCATCATAACTCTTCTGCAAAACAAATTGCAAGCTTTCTATCAGTTATACTTAGATCCAGATTCTTAAATCTTATGTAAGACTGGGTTTCCAAATGGTTTAAACATTTCTGTTAGATTTCTTTCAAAACATAACTTTCAAATCAGATGATAAAATCTGTATGCTAATAGTAAGTTCTGGGAGCTAAAATGATCCATACACCGCACAAAATACCTACAGCGCTTTGCAAAAATAACGACTCCTGGGAGTTTTGACCACAGACACACATTTGAAAAATCAAAATCATTTCTGCACTTTGTGCTTTGGTACTTGTCTTCAAACTTTTTCTGTATACTGATTTAGGTCCAAGTACAATTCAAGTAAACAATTTATCCATTCTTTATTGCACAAAGTAGTTCCATAAGGTTACACAAACATTTTGATGTCATTGATTTTGCAAAAACAATTCTTCAAATGCATGTCACATGTATGAAACTACATTTTTGATTTTTTTGAGCAAGATGGGCTCAGGTTCTAGATACAAAAATGTTACAGTGTACCCTAGACACCATAATTTATACTCAAAGTAAATAGATCTAAAACATTCTTACAATTCATACTCTTGATATCAAATAAGTGCCTGCGTGTGAATTTGAAGTCCTTCACCAGCATGGGCCTGGCAGCTAATATATGTCTTCAAACCTACCCCAGAAGTTAGATTCTGGACCATTGAAGTGTTGCCTATGTACAGTGCAGTGATGTACTTATGGCCTTAATTAAGGCCTCCTAAGTACTAATACCTTAATATTGGTCTTAATTAAGAGTAAATTAGGAGCATTTCAGGACCTATATTAACACTACTTCTCCTTGTATTCATCGCCCGAACTTAAATCCTTGTCATCCAAGATGCTATTATCCTATTCTAATGCTAAGAGCTCCTTGAGAAGCTTCTCTTACTAAGTAAAAGCATCTTGCCTAGTAGGCTACCATTGTGACTGTTCACTAAAGTCTATATCTTGAGTGGCTGGCTCTAGAGTGATACCACCAAAAAGGAGTGTAAGCAAGGAAGCCATGGTCATTACATGCCTCAAAAGTCCCCTTATTAGAGGCATTTTCATCTGACAGCATTTTCCACCAGTATGCCAGCACCCAAACCTTGTTCACATCCATATTAAGACCTAATTAGGACCTATGTAAATATCCAGACAGATTTAGGTCCTAAGCCTTAACCACATCCCTGTGTACAGTGAAAGTTTGATAAAGAACAATTTATTTTTTATGCAGTTATATATTACTGACATTTTTGATGAGGCAAGATGATTCCCAGGTGTCATTATTTTTGCACAGCGCTGTAAGACTGTTTCTTCCTTACTGTACATTGTTTGTTTTGGTTTTTGTTTTTTGTTTTTTGTTTTTTTTTTTTTTTTTTCAGGCAACCAACAATGGTTGTGGAACATGTAAATATCATCCGGTTATAAGAGCAAGGAAAGAAAAAATGAAATAATGAAATCAACTCCTTGCCCACTGGCAGGATCGAACTGCCGACCTTTGCATCACATATGCTTAGGTAATACGGTCGCATGACCGTGGGAACCCATAAGTACAAAGCTCTACCTCTGAGCTAAGCGGGCATTGTAGGTTTAATAAATAGCATGAATCTAACAGTAAAATGGAGGCGGATAAAGCAATCCCGCACTGAACTGTCCACCTGAAGGGAAGGAAAAATGGAAAGCTATTAAATCAGTATGAAAAGATATGTCGCGTCCATAACATTGTTTAGATGAACTCTGGAGTCCCAACACCCCCGGAGCAACTACTTCGCGACAAGGCCTCGCAGATGCTCGGGGCCATTAGATTTGTCCATGCTGAAGCGTTAAGTCTGGCGGGCATTTACTGCCCGACTGCTTCTGGACGGGCTTTTTTTTAAATCAGCATCCTCGAGTGGACGTCAATGACATTTTGTTGACAAGCGGATTTTTATTCACTATACGATTGTTGAACTGGTAAAACCATGGTACCAATACACGATCGGTGCTGAGAGCACAAGCTGTCACTACCCATGCCCCGGTGTAACATATCAAGATAGTAAGAATAAGGAATAATGCAACAGCATGATGCTCGGTGTGATGCGCCCAGATCAAACTCACTCATGGATTCCCGCCGCGTCGGCTTTCCTGAAAACCAGAATCACAGTTGATAAGTTTTTAACCAGCATTTTTCCAACGAATAGTTCTTGTGAATGGTCTCCAGAATATGACGCCAATTTGAGCTAATAAGACAACTTGAAAATGTTCGTTATATATCAGGGCATGAAAACTTGGACGAGCGAAACTGATTGTATTATTAATAGTAGTACAGTCTGTGTTTGAGCGGATTGGGCAAAAAATTACAATGACCTTGGGTTAGTTCTAAGTCAGTGCCAGGCCCATCCAAAAAACCAGTTTGGGACATCCAGGAGTTATCTGTTGATGCGAAGACTGAACAATCTCGACTGAGATGGTCCTCCATGCGGGCCGCACCTCTTGAGTGTATGTCATTGGGATTTTTGAAAGCTGGTGTGGGAGAGGAATTTGATACATTGAATTTGTGATTAGGGATGAATGGCTGTCTAAAGGCTGCTCTCTCTATCTCCGAGTTGGTGATGAATTCGAAATTGCTTTTATTGTGGCAATTGGAGGTCACTGAATAGTCGTTATTTGTTGTGACGTATACGCCCCCTTGCGCATTATAAAAATGACAGTCTCGAAGAACAATCGGCGAGAGCTGCTCGGGAGGAGTTGCGAAAGTTGTAGGTGATGAGGATCGCTGAAAATGAAAGGTAAATCAAATCGAATCCGACAGACATAGATGTCAAGGCCTACTCACGGTCCTTATTCTTGATAACTCCATTTCAAAGTATATTTGCTGATATAGCACTTCTGATGTATCCTTCGCCAAAGCTACAATGCCCATGATATCGGCAAGCCGATCAAGCTCCCTAGAAAACGCGGTCAATCTCGATTCCAGTCTTGCGTAGGTTACTACTAACCTTGGGTCAGTCTTTTCCTCTCTATCAATCTTGGCGACCCCAAACTCATATACAACCGCAATCAAGCGTTTAAGATCCTCAGACAAACCTTCCTGGAGGGTCTTCGTTTAGTGTACCTATTTCTAGAGAAACCCGGAATCACTTACTTCGTAGCCTCTTTGAATTTTGAGTATATAATCTGCGAACTCCCTCAGAGGGTGGTCCGAATGATTTGAGACTGCTTTGAAGTTTCTCAAAGCTGCCGAAGTTGGTCTGAATTCTGAGGATGTCATCGATGTAGCGTAGAGAAGAATTGATAGGAGGAGATTTCCTTAGAGAATGTCGCGGTGTAGGGAAGGACTGGTTAACAACTTGCAGCTGAGATAGCTAAGATTCTTAAAGGATTCACGGAAGATGCGCGAAAGACCAAAAACATACGGTTCGGACTCCGGAGAGGCTGTGTGATCTTCACCTTCTTGGAAATTGCGGCTCTTCTTCCTTGTCTGCACACGAAATGTAATAAGAACAGGGAGTGAATTTTTAATATGTCAACGAAAAGCTATAGTGTAGATGAGACATGCATGGAGCCCGTCCACCAAGAGCTTTTCTCGAACGGCTGAACAACAGAAAGATGCATAGAAGAGTACCGATATAGAATATAGAACTATAAATTTGAAGGCACTAGAAGGCGTATATCCAAAAAAGAAGCGCGGATGAAGTGTGGCTAAGATAAGATATTAAACTATACCGCGGAAGTCGAATTCCTCAACGACCAGTTTACCTAACCTCCGAAGACTCGGCCTGTCCTGAAAGGGGCCTTCTCCCCCTCCAAGGGCGTCTATAGCACACGCCTCGTCTTCAAGATGTGCATCTTCTTTCTTTTGAGTCACCCACCATCTCCGATCAGAGCTCTCTGAACTTTCTTTGACAGTGCCATTCAAATTGGCAGCGTCTTATCCTGCGGTTGACCACCTTGGTTGCCGGATTTCCAGTATTATCGGGATGAGCTCTTTCTGAAAATAATCTGCACACTCTGATATGTTCCTTCTGGAGCTTCGATCAGAGTTGTACGCCGATCGGATATGACTGTTTATCTAGAAATCAATGGTAAGAATGGTACACTGTCACCGTTGACAGGCAAGTGCAACTTTGTACATATGACCACCATCTCTCCGTTGACACGCCTGACCTTGTTGCCCGAATTATTATACACAGACCCAACCAGTCAAACTGAACGTACGGAACTCACCGGGGCCCTTAATCCACCTCCACCACCTCACGTTTAACAAGCCTACTATGCCGCCGTCGTCGCTGTAAAGGCTATCGCAAAGATTTTAGCAAATAAGTACTACAACTTTGCGCAAATTATTAACGTTCGACCTCGTTTCTATCGTCCCACACAGATTCAACGAGTCAAACTGAACAGCTCTTTCATCAAAGGAACTCTCCGGAGTCCTAACTTTACCGTTCAACCGGCCTACCATCAACCATGCGCTGCGAAGGCTATCGGAAGCAGGCCGACACTTGCGTCTCAGAAATCCCAGTCAACAACCTACCGTCTATGGGTTCGTAGTGGAGGTCTTCCAAGTGTTCATCTCGATTGGAATATCTCGTGAACGACATTTTCCAGTATGACGGTGGAGCGTCTAATTAATGTGTGAGCTGCCCTTTGCCAAATTAAATCGCACTTAACATTTCGCTTTTTGCTCTATACAGATACGCAGACAATACCAGCGACCTAGTCTGGGGGAGTAGGCGGGGGACCGAACGTATGAAACTCTCGATGCAAAAGTTAGTATACAACGGGAAGTTGGCTGAATGAAGTGCGGTTGCTCATGATCAATAGAAGGTAAGGTAGCGCGGAAAGAGTTTGTGGTGCCCAGCATAAACGTGCTTGAGACGCGAAGATGAGAGTGGAGACTCAGAGCTTCGGACACTCTGTACGGACTCAGAAGATTAGACGCGTTCTTTGTAAAAGATGCCGAATAGTTATGTTCTTCATGTCCAGATACCACTTGTCCGGATACAAAAACAGAAGGGAGGAAGCATTCAGAGCGTAGGGGGAGGGGTATAATTGCACGAACTCATGTACCCCTGCGCATTCGCTCAGAGGGTATATGTGTCACTTGGCGGGTATATAGGGTATATTGCTCTGCTGTCCGTAGTGGACGAATGTTGCTACGGGGATTAACCCGGGAGCGCGCGCGTTGGAGTCCGATCGGTGTTGAAACGTTGATCTTGAAGCTTGAAGTGGTGCCGAAGGGAGCAGAGGAGGAGGCAGAGGATAGCGGGCGGGAGGAGGCACCCACTACCCTCATTCATACTATGAACTAGTTGCCTCATGGTTAGCTGAGTTAAAGTTGCGTTCAACTCACGGGGGAGTTTCAGTTGACTGTGAGTAGGATCGGAGTTAGGGGTCATATCAAAAGTACCTTTCGGCTGACTTTTTGAAAGGCCTCCAACACAGAAGAGTACGATTCTGATACAAGGCTTTCCGTCCACTGCATGCGCGCTGGCGAAAAGCCAGCTGAACATTATTTGACTTGGCTTTGACGTTCCAATGATGGATCGGGTCAGGGGTGTGGTTGATTTCCAAATCCGGACATAAACGCTCAGCGGCGTCTATTTCGTCACCGGTATGGACGCATCTTGTTCTGGTACCTCCATCTGGTTCAGTTGTTTACTCCTCCCCAGTTTAACCTAGTACCATTCAATATTAGTTGACACTGTCAGCCGACACCCCTTAGGTCCATGTTTTAACTGGTACGCTTCCATATTCAACGTACACATTATAAAACCTATCACAGTCATACAAAAGGATCTTGAAACATTGCAATGTCCATCTCTGCAAAAATCCGCACTTTTTTTGCTCGAATTACTGGCTTCCTCACTCTCCCAGTGACAACTGTTCTTGTTCTGGTTTACCTTGCTGTCACCATCTCGTCTCTCGTAACCGATCAACTAAGACCAGTTCCATCTAAATCTACTCTCAAGTCGCGATATGGAGGCTTAGATGTTTCAGAGGCCTATGATGACCTTCATATTATCTCTACCCGTCCACACCCCTACCATTCCCATGCCAACGATGCCCTCAGAAATTACCTACTCCGGCGTGTTAGAACCATCCGGGCACAGTCGGATCTACGCGATAGTTTTCTCATTTATGACGATGTCACGACAAGTGGGGCTTGGACAAGTGCTTTCGGAGGTACTGGATCTGCAACGTACTTCCAAGGGAACAATATCCTCGTAAAGATTCGAGGAACTGCGGAATCTGATTCCTCCACACCTCCTTCCGCTGTCCTATTCTCTGCCCATTTTGACTGTGTCTCTACATCCATGGGCACTACGGATGCCGGAATGGGTGTCGCTACTCTCCTCCAACTAATCAAGTACTTTGCGACTCATCCTCCCCGACGAACTGTCCTTTTCAACATCAATAATGGCGAAGAGGACGGTCTCAATGGTGCCCATGCCTTTTTGGACCATCCTTGGATCAATAACAGATCCCACCCCGAATTCGTCAATCTCTTTGGGTCCACCTTCATAAATCTCGAAGGTGCAGGAAGTGGTGGACGTCCCTTGATGTTCCGTGCTACCGACTTACGGTCTGTAAAGAGTTGG